TGACACAACATCATCCCCCATTTTATACGCCCACATTTAATGTAACGTCGGTTTGTAAACCTTTCTTATGACCACTCTTTATCACTCATTTCGCCGATTTCGTAATGGAAGCTTCTAAACCTCAATAAGGATGCCCCTTAACGAAAAAGAAAGAAACCTATCGAATTTCAAACATTTTATATCGAGTTATTTCCCGTTTACATTTGTACGTTTAAAGTTTCTGAACGTACCTTTATTTTTGGTACAGGCTTGTTCATTTAAGCGAAATGAAGACCAGCATCGAAATTCCGATTCTTTCGAACCTAACCCACAGTTACCGCCATAATTATTTGTGTCTGTTAAAGCTTATGAATCTGATATAGGCCATGCTTCATAATGGAATAAAATCAACGTGATTGGGTGGATTATTTTCGAAAGCTTGCATTGCGAAATTTGTTGGAATCGATTTTAGGACTAGCACAGAGACTTTCATGTTGGTAATTAGGGAGCTGACGCTCTCGTTTATGTTTTTGTTCCAACAAGGGGGTCTATCTCGGTGAAATATCAGTACACGGATCTCTAAGGAAGGAACCAAATTTAGTACCAAAATAGTGCAATGAATTCTGTCGTCGGATTAGAACTATGCCTAGTAAAATACCTTGTTGGACAAACGAAAATAAGATAGATGAAAGATAAGTAAAATGTGATGTTTCAAGTTTAAATGATATTTTTATTTACAATATTATATTAATTTTCGACTATATACAATATCTATATAATTATATTATATAACATATCAAACAATTAGAAATGAGTCGGCGACAATATGGACGTTAATACAATTGACTGCTCTTATTAACTGACAATGAGAACAGTCAATAATAACAAGGTTATCGTCATCACACCTAATTTCGCTATATACCAATGATAACAATTTTGCCATTTAACATCGAACAATTTACATGAATAGGTAGGCTGATAATATAATAGTTTAAAATTATTTGAACAGATTCGTTTAAATTGTATTAATGACCCGATAGTTGTGTCGAACATTTCACATACCGACTTGGGTTTTTATTTGCAGTCTCGGATATAGGAAATTGTTTTTATATGGTTCTTATACCTCCATCAGACCGGGGTGGCGTCCTTACTGCGCTGCTACGGCGATGAAAATTGGTTTTAGAGCGCGTAAAGATCGCCATAAGGGGGGTAGAAACGCGAGCTATCGGGCTGTGGTCTCCATGATCGCCAATGCTCGCCGAGTCACGGCGATTGTTTTGAGCATGTACAAACGCCAAGGTTCTGCGATCTGAACTGGAAAGCTATGAGAATGTAACTTTTTTCAAGGTTGTAATTTTTTGGGACATCTTCGTGTGTTGTGTTCACGTTTGCCGGCGACCTTGTGCAATTTCTGGTCGCCGTACGGTCGCAGCAGCGCAGTAAGGACGCCACCCCGGCCTGACGGGGACATTAAATAGAATAATTTATAAGCTTTGTAAGTCATTTAACTGACTGTAGAATTCTACATGTTCTTATGATAGAATTATACGATTTTGAATAATTCTATTAGCTTAATAATACAATAAAATAGGACTATAAAAAATAATGCTACTAAAATAAGGGGTAAAAAAACCATCATAAAATGACAAAATGACAGTTATTGATCTGTTTTGGTTTGTATCTATCTAGATATTAACATTACATGTTGTAGTAATATTCAAATAAAAACAATTCTTTCATGTGTCATTAAATATTTATATTGGTTTCAGTTCTTTTAAATCAAACTTCATGGTGCTTAGCCCCACTAGCTTAGCTCTACTATCAATCTTAGGTTTTACACGTTACATTGTGAATAATCGATTTTCAAATGACATAAATGTTAATTTGAAAGTATATATATATTAATAGACAATGCGTTAATTCTCTTCAAAATGTCGAGACACATGAAATATTACTTCAGCCTCAAAGTGAAAAGAGGTGCAGAAATAGCAGTAACACGTAGAAAACTATTAATGTTAAAAACAGAATCATATATGGTTTAGGAAGCATCAATTTTGAACTTGATGTTGCATTTTTTTTTATATCATCAACACAATGATGAGAATAAGCACGAATGTTACACGATCTCAGCAGTCACCAACCAGTTTGTGTCTGCTTTCAGTTGAAGACCATACTGAATCAATTTTCCTTCTCATTTAGCCAATATGAAGTACAATCTATTTCTCTTTCTACAACAGACAAATAAAGGCTTAATCTTACTTTAACATGCAATCATCAATCATAGAATTAAGTTTCAAGTATTGAACAGAAATTACTAATACTAGAGAACATACTGCCAATTTTTATAATTACACATCTATTCTAGTATATAACCACTGTTTCGTATCCGATTTACAGACAAAGGAAGTCCAGCTTATAATAAAATCTTTCTACATTTGAATAGTTATTACTTTTCTTTCTTAAAGGCGAGGTGTCAGTTTTTGTTTCGCACCAAAATGAACAATTTATTTTATTTTCCACAAGGGTTTTTGGGGTGATTTACTTTTAATAACCCAAAAACATGAATTTATTGTTAAATAAACCAAACTTGGTATGATATGTTAATAAATTCCGACAATCTGAACTAATTTATTTATGTCATGAGATGTTATTCAATTTACAGTTAGCTATGAGTGCAAGACTATTAATTCTCGTGTAACGCTAAAAGGGTGAAAAACTTTTATTCTTTATTCAATCATCTGTTCAACAAAAAGTCAAAATATTCACTCACACGTCGAAATATCAACCAAAAGCAAACTGGATCCGACTCACTCACGTCGTAAATGAATTCTATGATCGATTATCGGAACTAATGTTTAATGAATATTCATGTAAAGGCTAAGCTTTATGCGATGTATAAGTTGAGATTAAACCAGACAGATAGCTGCTTACAGAACTACTATAAACATCAGATATTATCTTTAGGAACAATCTTTCATTTTTCATGCAAATAATCCAAACATTTAAATAGACTGCAACATATGTTCAGAGAACATGATAAGTGGTTTCTTAATGTTCTTTATTATTGTCAAATCTAATTATATATTTTAAAATGATGGCCTGCTTTTTCTAATCAATCGAAATGAAATTTATTGAAATAGTCAGGTGTGGAATTTGTTGGGTTTATTGTGTGCCCATACTCTCATTTAAGTGCAGTATTTAGAAGGTGTTAAATGAAAGGTAAAAAAGTTACTATGGACAATGAGTGACCATTTGACCTCTGTGATTGCTAGCCGCTTAGCTCACTAAGGAGAAGAAAACGGATTAAAATGATATATTTACGACATCTAGTTGAACTCGGTGGCTTCTGAGTATTATAAAGGGATTATTGTATTCAGATATATGGAATATAATTTACTTATATTTATACCCAGTTAATACTCGACTTAATTTTCTCTTTGATTACTCCGTTACACTTGGAACATAGACGTTAATACAATTTTCTAATTATTATTTTTCTTCTTAGAGTCTTAGCCCAGTTAATTCAGAACATTAGGACTTTCAATGCATTTCTACATTGTAAAATACTGTGTATATTGTTAATGTTAGTTAACATTAGAAATTGATGATAATTTGTTTTCTCATATTTCAGTTAACTTGCTGTATAGACTATTTTTGCGAATTATTTTCTGTTGTGGTTCATCGCCATATGTTACCTGGCTATATTATCATAATTTCATTGTCTGGCTGGTTTTATTCGTTCTGTATTAAGTTCATAATGTACACAGGTGATTCATACTTCTTCCTAAAGTAATGCTAATGTTAAAACATGAGAGGATTCAATTTGTACGCGCAAAGATTTACATTTCGATAATTGAGATTTGAGGTGAAATTTAAATATCAATATCTTTTTTGTTTGGATTGTAGAGATTTATTTTGACTTTTTCAATTTAAATTCTAAAGCAAAGATGGTGTTCAGTTAAAACACAATTATCCAGTGCATGCGATGATCTCTAGTTTGTATTGAGATTTGGAAATCACTGTTCCAGATTATGTTACATGTAAACCAGAATAGTGGAAAACTGGGAAAAAATTATCAAGATGGCGATCAGGTGAATTACAAAACCTAACATTTTCAACAGTGCATGAAATGACATTAACGGTTGTTAATTGTACTGAATGCTCATCTCACTTTCAATACAGAAAACAGCATCTATAATTCATTTCGTGTTCTACATTGTACAAAGTACTTAGTAACGCTTAATTCAAATATAATTTTAATCTTGAATAAATTTGTATCTAAGAATCTAAAAAGAATATCAACGCATTTCTTTCTTACGTATCAAAATAATATATTCAATACCTTATAGCTTTAAATCATCTTTTACAATGTATGATTGTGCCAAATGATTCAAATGGAATAAATGTAATCACTTTATTTTCTTATCTAAAGAAAATATAGCCATTAGTTCGTGGAAATGGTTTTAAAGATAGATTTGGCAAATTGAAACCTAACAGGATTTTGTTAAAAATGTTTGTTCGTGAAATAGTTGAATAAACCGGTTAATTATTGGTGTGTGAATAAAAACTATTATATATCGTGGGACCGCCGTTAAAAATGTTAATTGTAAAATAACTAAGCTTAACGTAAGCAAAATTGAAGTCACGGGTGAACGGGTATCAGGATTTTCAACTGATAAAATTTAGAAGCCGCATAGAGGGACACCTCACCAAATACCTATAAATAATTTTCTCAATGACTTCTCACAATCCATAGTTTTTAAAGCACCTCTCAGCTGTCGATGGGAGGTAAAGCTGTGCAGTGAGGATTCTTTTAACAATTTGTAGCCTTTATGTTATTATGTGAAATCATACTATTGTTAACCCTTTAAGCCCGGCTAAACCTGCACTCCTATCTCTAACAATACAATAGCTTTTTATTACATTCTAGACAAGTTCTACCCCACAAGCCCTCATTAAATATCATATTGTTACTTTGAAGTTGATCATCTAAATGGTGAAAAAAAACCTAATTCAAAAGCTTGTGTTTCATAGTTTTACTTGACATAACTGATCTATACATACATTGTAATAATGACCATTAATGTTTGAAATAACTTTGATTTTTATGATATCAATAAACCGGAAATTAATAAAACAGTGTGCCATTACTTTCGTAGACGACGAAAGCTGAAAATGTTACTAACGTTTCAGACCTAACTTTGATCATAAAAATCCAGATCATTCTTGTTAGTTAAAGATGAATAGATAAACTGCACACCAGGTAAAATTAATGATAGATCTTCTAAATGTCACCTTTAAATAAACATACATCACTTATAACCAAGCAAAAGATACGCAACTAAACAAACACAATTATACTTAACACGTCATGACTTAGCCATTGTTTAGCCTTGTGGCAAAATGTCAATCATTACCTTTAACAACATCATATATATATATTATATATTATTATATATATATTTATGTTGGATGTCCGAATAGCACTAATTAATCATACACCAGCTCTTTATACAATCAAATTTTGATGTATAACTAACAACATAGATGTCGTGCTAGATAGATCATTATTTCTGATCATAAAATATGTCGGCGACATTTAATCTATGTAAGTTCGCCATATTTTATGTCATTATTGACAAATAAACGAGCACTACATATAATACATGTATAAATATATATATATATATATAACACATCGATCTAGGTACCAGTTCAAACCAAGTCACGTGATCTAGTACTTTGTTATAATCTGCAGTTGTGAAATCAATAACACCATGTTTTTGCTGATGATCATTAGGCTATAGTATAGAGATGGTACGGATAACCTCCATTTTGTAGCTTCATTTGTTTGTCATGTAGAAAATACTGATAACAAAAGAACACAGTATAGTTTCGTATTCGTATTTTACCCCACACTGATAATATTCCACTTCAAATTAAAATAAAAACGAATTTATGAAATTCATACACAATTACGCACAATAGTAAATCCAATATATTTTTTTTTAAAAATAATAATTCTCTTCAAATCAATCCACTTTTAAGATATTCAATATAAATTCCCTTTTTTCCGAATACGTGATGGGTCGCGTTCCAACAAATACAAGATCCTCATGTCAATAAGTCTCATAATTTATTTATAGACGTAGATGTAACATGGAGGGCGAGGATTACATGTACATATGGTGTGACTATTGAACATCAATGATATATAAATTAAATATTAAGTGATGAAATATATATATTATATATTTACATTACGACATGTCTCAGCTATGAATATGATCAGAATTATGGTGGTGTATCATCATTTTAATACAGTTTTCGTCATGGTCTGACATGGTATATACATTTTTTGGATGTTTGTTTTTCTCGCAACAGTCTTTTTCCTCGTAACTCAATCGTTCACGTCGTCTATAGTATAAATGAAACACTAAAGCACATATTAATAATGTCAATAGGAATGTGCCTATAACAGCTCCTACTATGTCCACTATAGAGAAATGCTTCACCTTGTCATTGGTGGAAACTATGCCCATATTTTTCTCGGGTTTATTTACTGTCCACTCATAACTATTTTTCTTTCCCCCAACCGAGTATTGTTTGTTTACAGTGGTGGTCGTGGCAGTAAGGGGTGCCAACGTGCTCTCAACATGCGAGTCTTTCACAACCGGCCAGGCTAGATTTAGTGAAAATGTGACATTTCCCGCCGGATTATTCGCTATACATTTATATTTCGCCTTCTCCATTGATTGAGGGTTCGTAATGTACATAACCCCCTCATTGTCTTTATCTGTTTCTTGTTTTAATGGGTAGTACGTTTCAGTTGTTCCGTCGGGTCTTACCCAAAATAAAGTCGGAGATGGGTCGCCAGTAGCCGTACATGTTAACTTTCCTAGTTCACTTTCAAACACGGCATCCACATTTTTGAATGTAGGTAACTCACAGGTAAAGTCACTGGTTTTTAATTCGTTAAAGAGTTTTTTGTTATTTTGTGGTGGGCTTGAACAGGACGGTGCGTCGCCTCCAGAAAAGATGGAATCTTGCGTTATGAAAAACTCGTAGAGCCAGGACATTTCACAATTGCAATGGAAGTTGTTCTTACCTAATCGTACATGACTGAGTGACTTCAATAGATAAAACCAATCTTTCTCCAATCTCTCGAACTGATTGTCATACAACCATAGTGCACGCAAGGAACCGTTCAGGGGACGTAATACGTCTAGGGAAAGGTTCATCAGTGAACATCCATGCATATATAGTCCCCGTGTTGTCAGTCCATCAAATGCTTTTGGTGAAAATTGGATACCAGGATTTTCATTAATGAAAAAATTCTCCAGGTTTAGTCCACGGAATGTAAAATCGGCAATGAATTTAAGTTCATTTTTACTGATATCCAACCATTTTAGTTTAGTTAAACCGGCGAATGTGTCAATGGCGATGCTTTCTATTCCGCATCCACTTAAATATAAATTAGTTAAGTTTGGAAGATTGGTAAAGTTTCTCCTGGTTAAAACCGGATTTTTGAATCTATTATCGTTCAATGTTAATTCCAATGTATCATAAGGTATCCCGTCTGGTATTGCCAATAGGCTTTGTCGTGTGCAATATACATTTTGACTCATGGACGGACAAAAACATCCTTTAGGACATGCAAAGCATATATTTCCACAGTACACTATAACTGAGATTGTCAACACCAGTTCATTAAATGAACATAAAAATAGCACTTTACGTCTCATTGTCACTTTTCCTGTGAACTGTCATTCTATAAAATGATGAAGTAAATTTCCACACAGCAAAAACAAAAAGACCCGGAGATTACATATTCCAACTTGCTAGCTTCATAAGTCTGTTAGCGCTGTTACACTCTTCCCCGTACACAGTAATAACACTCGATCGCTCTCAGCTGCCACAAACATACGGCTATAAGTAGACAGCGCCACCAAGCGATTCACTGTAATACTGCCATCGACCAAGACTTCAACTGGTAGACTCGATTACTTGACCTCTGTTATAGTTAACTTCGCTGCATGCATGGTTTTGCAATCGTCATTAAGCGATATGTGTGCAGATCTATTCACGGGTTATCACTTGATTAACGGCAATGTTTGTGTAAATAGTTACACATTACAATTATCAGGAACAAACCTTCAATCCTATATGATAGGTTCGTTAGCAAAGAAATGCCCAGAGCCAAATACATTTACTCAGACGGGACAGCATGCGATTATATAATTATCGAAGCATATAGATTGTATGTATAGACTTCATACGGAGTTGATATAGCTACTATTTAAACATTGATATCTCCGATATACAAAATATACTTCAAATGAAAATCAATGAGTGTTTATGAATGAAGTGCAGATTAGCTTATTAACATTCATTCCAAGAATAAAAACGCCGCTTTTTTAAATCATGAAATATTAATATTTAATTTGTGTTATCATTGTTTATAATAATTAGCTAACAATGGCGTTATGAGGATTAACTTGTTACGTTTTGGCTGATTAACTCCAAGAAAAGTGTTTGAGTTACTTAAATTTCTGACTTAAATTTTGTCAACTCTCAAATGGCGCCAAACCCTTCTTTGATTGGTGGTTGGATCTGAAATAGTGCATGGAAGTTATAGATATTGACTAATTTTCATAAATATTTTGTGGAAACATCGATAATTTAGAACCACATTATGGAAAGTTTATGTTTATGGTGCTGATTCTGCACTGGATTTAATTATGTAGGGCGTTGTCAATAGTCTTCTTGGAATTTAAAACGAATTATGTTATTGCGTTAATATTTATTTTATAAAACCATTGAATATGACATTCTTCCTTGCTTTACATCCCACATTTAAGTCACCTTGTCCACCATAGAAATACGAGATAATATTTAGTCGATTATGTCGTAGGCGCGTATTTTGAAGGGCGTTAGATAAGTTTGTGTAAGCACTCAAAGACGCCGCGTGTAAATGGAGAAGGGTTTCACGAATGGTACTAATATATGATGTGTAAAAGGTTTAGGGTCGTATCGAGAACTCCGAATAAATACCATTATATTGTATTTTGTTGTCATTATGACTCATATCTTAAATAAATATACAATGATTTGCATTACACAATGTAAGACCTAACACAATTCATCATACCACTAAAAATTATGTCATATTATGTAAACCTAGTTGAAAACCTCACCCCGCCCTTTCTAAATTCAGTTCTTCAACATATTTAAATATCACGTATTTTCACACATGTCGAAAATAATTTGTTAAATCTAGTTGGATATAAGTAAACCGTTATAATATACATTTTGATTTAGCATGTAGTAGGCCAATATTTATCGAAGTTTATAAAACTTTTAAAATCTAAAATATTTTGAACATGAAATGAACACACATGTGATTGATACATTTTAAAATAACATAAACACAAAAATCACAAGTAATCAAATTAGGATGGCAATAAGTTTATTACTTATCTTTCTTTGTGCTTTTTCGTGACTTAATTTAATCCCAAAATTCTAGCTCCATGCCATAAATTTTTATTTCGTTGGAAAGTATTTCTGAATTCTTTATTACATGACTGTTTTATGGTATAATGGATTTTACTTATAGCTATTGGGCTATGTATTTAGATAGTTTTATATAGTTTTGTTATTGTTTATGAGAGGAATAAATCTAGAACCTAATGGTAGTAAACAAGAGAGTGGAGAGGTAAATAAGTCTTTCAACAACTCTCTATTAACAATTTCTCTCTAATTGAGGCGCTAATGAAGTGGGCTGTATTTTGTAATCGGATTACGTGTCATCAAGGTGAAGTAACAATGGTATTCGCTCCTTCCCCCTAAATTACCCCAGTCCCGTCGAGTTACAATCCCCAAGGGGTGTCATGTTAAATAACTGTGTCAATACTCATTAGTTTGTATCGTGAGCCTTGAGGGAGTTGGAGGTTTGTCAGCGTGAGATTATTCAAGTATCTCTTTTGAGTGTAATTTGAACCGACAGCTATAATATTGAAAATAATTTTTCCCTTTCTTTATAAAACCCCTGACAGACTTCCCCCCTTCAAACATACAATATTCTTGAAATGTATATCAAATTATATTATCGTGCTTCAGCTTGTTTTGTAAGATATTTCAACCGTTAATAAATTGAAAATTTGAAATGGAAAATTTTTAGAACTTTGTTCTACTGGCGTATTTCTATATTACTTAAATATTATCAGAAATTTACTTTTGTACGTAAAATATTTTATATATCTTAAGAGAAAAAAAAAATAGCCCATTACTTCTCTCAAAAATATCAAGAACGAATATTGCAAAAAAAGAGGCCAAATCAATCGCTATGGCCGTATTAGGGCAAATGCACGACAAAGTAGCCGATTTATTCATCTGAAAAATATCGAAAATAATTTGCTTTTGTACTTAAAATATTTTATTATTTTTAACAGAAAATATGTCCTCATGTCTGACGGGTTATGAAAAGGGCGAGATTTTACATGTCTCCAATGAGCCACCATATTGTAAACAACGCCATCTGTTAGCATAATGAGCGTTAAAATTATGACTCCCTTTTAACCCGTTGTGATAAGTCATAATTTTAACTCTCATTATGGATTACTATATGGCGGCCCATTTAGGACGTGAAATTGTGCCCTTTTTTATAACCCAAAAACACGACATTTTTCTTTCAAACATAGATACAAAAGTAAATCATTCTCGACAATTTTGAAAGAAAAATTAGGCTATTTTTTTTTCTCTAAAGAAAAATAAAGTATTTTACGTGCAAAAGTAAATTAGTCTGATATTATTTAAGTAATCTGGAAATACGCCAGTAGAGCAAAGTTTTTTTGTGTGTTTGATTTGGTTTATAGACAATATTTTATTTCACTTGAAATTGGATTGAGCAAAGGGAAATGATACTTCAGATGTAAACGTACATCCCGTAGGTCCACAAGATTTCGGAAAAAGGGGGATAACCCCGGAACAGAAGGTCAGGGAACGCAGATTGACGGGATAAACTGACAGGGCTCGTTCTCTCATTGTCCCAATGATTTACATCGAACAAGAATTAAATCTGTTAAAGGGAGGTTACAGAAGGTTGAATATTGATGGAGTTTTCGGCTTAGGAGACATAACCTAATTCGCTAAAAAAAAAAAAAAATCTGTTAAATATTATAGCCTGTATCGTGTTCACAATATTTTCGGAAAAGGGAGATAACTCTTGAGCGGAAGGTCCGATGCTCACCAAATTCAAATCAATCCAGGATATTTCGATCCCTAACGCATATTTTATGTTTATCTAAAATTGGGCCAGAAACTTCGTGCATACTTCTCTTCTTGCGTAAATGATAGGGGGCCATAACCCATGATGCTACGGTCCAAACTAGATGCGCATACCAGATCCGTCGACCTTCAACGCATATTTTAAGTGTCATATAAAAGTTGGTATATGTATAATATGCTTTGTCACTACATGTGTTTGCGTATAGGGACGGGGCAATTTTAACAGGAAGTTACGGTCCGATTTCCTCCAAAATCGAATTCATCAGTGTCAGTGATTGTTGTGTATTATACATATAGCTAATCAAAATTATGATCTCTTCGGGGCGCACAAGCAATGTACGCGATTTTCGTTCAGCCAGGGGCAAAAATCCAGGAAATTACGGTCCGACATGTGCCGAAATTGAACCTATTCGAAATTGTGACCTCTAGAGGATACACAAGCTATATGTGTGCGAATTTCTGTGTCAATCCGATAATTATTATTTAGTTTATACTCTAAAACCTATACGGTCAAAGGGAGATAATTTGGATAAATATATTTTGACTATTTATTTACAGCTGATCAGAACTGTTCTTTGGAAAACTAATAAATTGTTTTTAAAAATGTAATATCTTCAGACCTTGCTCTCAAAATCCGAGTGGCTTAATGAGTAGTTTCTGCGAAATAAGCCGGTGGAAACAGAACATAATATTAATCAGATCAAAGAACACGAGTGTTTAACACAATATTCACAGCCTGAAACCTAATAAGTATTATTGCCGCAAAAGAAACGGGCGAATTTTCCTTTACTAAATATTTCTAACCGAATGTATCCGATTTGGAGATAACTGTCTACCCTTTACGCGAAATGAAAGTCTCCCATTATACAGAGGCACTCGTAATGTTTATGTTTTGAAAAAGAAACTATGTCGAAATATGTGAAATTTACAAGAGAACAGTGGATTTTATCGAACTTCTAGGCGGTAAGACTCGACTAAGAAAGCAACGAGGTGACAATTTCAGGTATGTCACTTATCTTTGGCCGTTTAAATTAAAAACTGAAGAAATGGCGAGGAATTTTAGAGTCGGGGTATCTTTTGGAACTGACAGTAACATCAGATCACGACGATAAAACGTGAGAATGAACGCACCACGGATCAATTCTCTTAAACACAAAACATTGATTTCGACAGAATGGGAATGTTGAAAATCACGATTTTATGGTGCAGACATGGGTATAAAATATGTGTTTTTTAAAAAAAAGCTAGGCTAAGGTCAGTACCTCTCCTGCAGTTCCGGTGGAAAATGCAGCAATATGCCAAATTTCACAACTGAACACCGAAACTGCGCCATTGCATTAATTTAATGGACCAGAGCTGTCGCCCGAAGGTTTTGATGCTCTTTCAGTACCACCCTGAGGCTAGCTAATCGTTTCCAGCGGACAGGGCCCACCAAAATCGGTCAATGACTGGACGGCAATGAGTGACGAATCGACAATAGAGATACATTACTTGCAAAATCTAAAGGCTCGCATTCTGGTTACTTCCCGTACTGCTACTATTGCGAGGGGCCTACATGCACGGGTGTATTGATTCTGACATTGTTCGTCGCGGACTATACGTTACTGAATAGTGATTTTTACCCCTTGAATTATTCACTGTAAAATATAACTGAATGTTTTCT